ATGAGGATATGAGATAATCCATTTTTGTGGAACAGTTGATTCCCTTTTATTTCTGCATTGCATAATGGAAACAAATAGTGAATGTCAAATTTCTGAGAAAAATAAATGAAAATTTGGGTCATAAATTGCTAGATACCTGAAGATACAACAATCTCTTCAGAACAAGTAGTAATAATTACATCTATGTTTTATCGCTTTTTAGAATACATATTTCCTGATAAAACACATATATATATATAAAAATAACTTTAGCTCCAACAGTCAAAAAAAGTCCATAAACCCATATGTTTGATATTACAGAACATATCACAAGGTACAGCAGCGTTGGCTTTAGGTACTCAAAATTTAAAATTGGCTGTTTAAAAAAAAAAAAAAAAGCAAATACTTTTTGTCTACATGACTACAAACAATTTAGAGCATTTTCAGATTCATGGCATAAAACTTTGCAATATTCAAAACCACTAAAAATATGTATATTATGATTTGTTTAAAAAGCAATGTGGGATATTGTTCCCCCCCAGTCCCTTGCTTTTTCCTTTTTTCGCCCTCTTGACCCTTTTTCATTTTTTGTCTTCAAATAACTTTTTGTTCATTTTGTTGGATATAAATAAAATAACATTGTCTCTCTCACTACAGCTCTTTCAAATTACAACCTTCTGCAATGGGGTTTTAAGACTAATATAATTTTATATCCAATACAAAAGATTTTTTGGGAAAACATTTTGAGTAATCTAATGATATTTCCATTAGAAGTGAATTCATAATTTCCTATAATAAGACATAATTTTTCACCTAGGAAGCATACTTTAGCTTATGGAATGACCGATTATTAACAAGGAAGGACTTGAGGAAGACAGCACTGTTCCCAAATTTACTGTGTTATGAATAATATAATAAGTATAAAGTGTTCACAGAATTGCCATATATTGAAATTGAAACATCAAAGAGTTGCAAAGTGTTCTGGGCTTATAAAAGAACTGAACACTATCATAAGAGAAAACAAACATGAAAGTTGCTGAAATTCAAAGCATTTATTTCTAGAGGTGTGTATAGCAACACTGTGCTAAGTACAAGAGTTTAGGGGACGTGGATCACACCATCACATCTTAGCGGGTTGTGGGAGTCCAGTAAAGCGACTCTTTCTACAACTGGAAATGCAGAGAGACACCATCTTAACAAGGAGGGGAGAGAGAAGACTTTTGATGTCTCACACAGACTATTTTCCTAAACACAAGGCGATCTTCCCAATTCTTCACCCTTCTGCTTTATTTAACCACAATATGAAGATGAGCAATCTACAACATACTGGAGCCAGGTTAGGAAATGGAAGGGATGTTGGCAGCTCTCCCAAAATATATGAGCAGTTAAGGAAACTACACTGCTATATACCGCCACATAATGTTTCCAGATGAATTGATACCTTTACAGCCTAATTTAATCCCATTATTTGCACCCCATCTTCCATACTATTTGTGATCTCAATCCACAAAAGTGCAGCCAGAAGCATGTAAAATAAAGTGATTTGGATAACATGCACATCAAATGTACTTTGGAACAAATTATAGCTAATTCAGGAATGAAGCAAAATTAGCACAATGCCACAATGTGCACACTATCCTCCACACTGAAATCAGTGGGCTTAAGCTTTCTTATTAGCAGAAGGAAACCTATTTTTGAGCAGCATTTTTTCATACTTGAAGGACTGAAGGTCTTACCTAGCCCAGCAGTCCAATTCTACAAGGTGGAATGGTTTTGTTTTCTTGTTTACTGAACGCCCTGATGAGACTGTGAAGAGGCCGGTACCACCTGTCCTAGGGTACTGCATTTTAGGAGCAGATCTTTGCGGGTCACTACAGTGCAGTCGGGATGTGGACTGTTCTTTAGGTCACTAGTCGTGTAGATTAAAAGCCATCACTTTTAGAACACATACAAATGTTTCCTGACAAGTTACCTTATGTCAAGTCAAAGCAACCAGGATAGTCCAGTCATAACTTGGATTTGTCATATAGGTACCTTTTGAACCAAAGTAAGTTCCCAGATAGACTTGTGCAGAAGCCACAGTTAAGGTCAGAGACTTGAGGCATCATGTCTCCTGGAGCAACCCAACTCAATGTCTCAGCTATTGCAGGTTGCCCTTAGTCATGCATTTCTTTAACTATTAAAGTGTATTGCTCTAACATTCCCAGCACCAGACATTGCAGTGAAAACCTCTGTGATGATGCACCAACAGTGCTCATCATCAATGAAAAACTTGGTTTTGGCTTATGCCACAACTCTTGCATTTATTTGTGATTAACAGATACGTTCTTTTTCTCCTCTGGGCTTCAGAAAGGAAAGCTCCCTGTTGGCCTTGTTCTGGCCATCCCTCTGCTGCAGTGAGAGAGAGAAAGAGAGAGAGGGAACTTTGCTCCTTCCCCAGCATCACCAGTAGGAAATGTTGGCCAAGTGCAGGAAGGTGGGCAGAGAGCAGCACAAGACTAAGCTGGCAGCAAGCCTGGGTATTTCTGGAGAGGAGCACGGAGCTGACTTTTTAGGAATCAGAGAAAGAGTTCGTTCATTAGAGTGTTTGCTGCAAAACAGAAAGTCACCAAGAGACGCTTGATTGAAATTGAGATTGGGGAAAGGATCATCTTTGCAAAGATTCACTGGACTGGGAGGAGATTTGTGTTCAAATCCTTTTATTTTTATTCCAAAGCAGACCTAAGTTCTTCTACAGCAAATGCTCACTTTTCTGCTCTGGTTTTCAGCAAAATATTGCTCAGAGGCAGTGCTCTTCTGGTGGTTCAGGTACTCACAGGAAACAGGGGAAGATAAATTCTCCTCAAAGCCTTAGCCAGGTCATGGTCCTATCCCACCAACTATCAGAAGGCTAGCTTCACTTATAGGAAGAGACTTGCCATTTTTTTACAGTGCACATTATTAATAATACCTTGGTTAACTTAGTTATTTCTTTGGAGACAGAACCATTTTTCAGGACTTCCAGAGGATTTAGAGGAGAAGATGACCTATACACTTAGTAATTCTAAAGTGGCTTTAACTTTGGGCATTATTGGGCAAATAATTTAGTATTATTTTCATGCCTGTTTGGGGTCTATTCTACAATCAGAAATAAAATAGAGGTCATAAACAAATCAGAATAACAACACATTTCTCAAGGAAGGAAAGAAGGTCGATGTGAAGTAGAACTGTCCAATGATATTTTGAAACCAAAATTGCTACCTCACTGTGACACAGAAACACATGGGTTAACATTCCAACCACAGAAACAAAAAATTTCAACCAAGGGATTTTTGCTTATTTGGAGAATTTTGTAGCCACAAAAATAAAAGGGGAGCAAAATGAGGCCATTTCCACACCAGGCATGCTGGAAACTAACAACTGATCCTATACCAATGAGTCATATAAGAACAAGGGTCTCTTTTTTTTCTGAAGGAAATACAAAATCCTTATGATGTAGGAATGTTTGAGATGTGATTAATTACTTCCTTAGACAGGTATTGCCTGTGGCCCTGAAAAAAAAGGAAATAACTGCAACTCCTTTCTCAGCAAGAATTTAACCAAGTCATGTCACATGAAAAAGCATTTTCTTTTATGTCTGTAGCCTTAAAAGCTCAGACATAACAAATGAATAAAGTGGGACCAACTTGCCAAGTAAACAAGCCTGTCAGATGCAGTTAAAGATCAAACATGGACCTTTTCCCATCAAAAGCAGTGGGTGCGTGAGTGTGAGGTGGACAAAACAGCTGTTAGTATACAGGAATGACTGTTACTGAAATTTATTCCCATAATGGAGGACAAAGTTTAATCCTCTAAAATAATTTAGGAACTTCAGGAAGTGGAAAAGGGTTGAGGAGTACACTAAGTCTTCCTCCCAAATGGGAGGAACACACTCCCATGCTGATGATCAGTAGGAACGTGGTTAGAGATATGCAAGCATAAACATGTCTTCTTTTACCCAATTAGGGATAGAAGTTAATGGAAGACTACGAAAAAAATCTTGTAATAAGCATAGTGAAGGTAACAAATCTAACTAGTGTTCAGGTGAAGCACAATAAGGATTACATGACATTGGGTATCTATGAGAACAGAGACCATATTCCAAGGTAGCCTCAAAATTTATGTTCCTCTGAAAGAGAAGCTACATCTGACCAGTACCTCAGAGCCTTTGTAGGCTTCAACATGTGCTCACTTGCTGAAAATGCTAACGATAAGGAAGAAAGCAGGCTGAGCTCTTCACATTAACAAGATTATCTGACATTTTTTCTAAGCATAAGGGTTGACTTTAGTACTAGAGCAGTGCATCCATACGAAGAAAAAAATCTATATTAAGAGTAAGAAAACATGTTTCATCAGGTAGAACACCAAAAACGTCCTGCTTTAGGAAGTTGCACCAAAATGTAATTGGAATCACAATTTGCGGTAAATATGTGCATTTCCAGATCCAAGAATAGCATTTGGATCTATAGTTTAAGTGATAAAGTATCATAAAAATTTACTGGACAAGTTATTAGAAATTCTGCCATTACAGTCTGTTTAAAAAAAAAATCACTAATGCACAGAGCTACTTAAAACTAAGTATTCTTGTATGCCATGGGCTAGATTTAATTAATCTCAAACCAAAGATATTTAGAGATACCAATACTTAAGATTAATCTATAGATGCCAAGTGTGGCACTGTACAAAATTAAATTATTTCCATGGCACCAGTATGACAGAAAATATGCTAGGAAGGTAATAATAGCACTCTGTATTTGTGTCAAACATCTAATCCCTCAGTGAGGGGGGAATGAACATGCTTAAAAATTAATTTTTATAGACTCCTGTAACCTTGCTATCCCTGCTCAGAATCAGAAGTATTAATCACACAAGGCTGCCTTTCTTACAGACTTGTATTCACAGGTAAATCAAGTGAACACTTAATAGCAGGATTTTGCTGTTTCTTTCTAAACTATGCTTATATTTGGGTGCAGGGAAGAAAAAGTAATTACAATTAATTTTACCTTTAGGTGTTGGAATTGGTCTCTCAAGGTCATCTGCATGACCTAAGGGGTCATTTGAATCTGGAATTTCCATTTCACCTAGGAAAAAAAGAAAGATTTTGTTGAATTGAGGTTCTGAGTTAATCTTTCTCTTAAACTGCATTACAACAGCGAGTTCAGCAAACTCATTCAGTCCAGATCCTGGTTCCAGAGTAGCACACAGGAAACACCTAGTAACAAGGTAAGGATTTATCCATTGCAGATTAGAAAACTTTGTAATAATTTACCTTGTGGATTTACCTTGTGCCTGGCAATTATGGGCAACATTAAAAGCTATTTTCCAGTTCTTTCCAGAAGGAAATTAACGCAGTTTTACAAAGAATGCAAACATTTCTTGAAACCAGAGCTTGCCCAGCAAATTAAGCAGTACCTGAGCTTTAGTGACAATCTCAATTACAAAATAGCATAAATGTACTTTTTAAATTACATTACAGTAATTCAGATTATATTTCTGGAGGTCAGATTCATCATCTCTGCTTTCTTATCCTATTCTCAGCTGTGTCCCTAAAAGATTTTATCTCCCAGAAATGAAAATAAAATAACCATTAGCCAAGTATTCCATAAGGTGATGAAATGGATGGACATCTTTCTGTGTTCCCCCCTTGTTTGTGTCTAACATATATCAGAACAAGCTGGAAACAATGTTAGCCAGCAGTTGCTGCAGACAGTAGACAATACTTCCATGTTCCTTTGCTTTTTCAGTTCTTACAAACCCCTCACCATTCTAAAACAGGGGTTCGCCTGTCTGCTCTCCTTTTTGAAAATATGATGCTGTGAGGAACAGAGCTGAACTTAAAAATCACATAAAGCTACAGAGGTGCTTTTACTAAGACAACTTCTCAAATTACATCCTCTCTATTTCTCTATTTCCTAATTTACATTCAGTCATTCAAATTCCTTATCACCTCAGCATATCACCAAGAGAGCATACAAATCTAAGGTCATCAGGGTCCAAAGTGAAAGATCTGGGTATTGTTGTAGATTTGTTGGGGGTGTACATGGTAATGTTTAGCGAAAAGGCTCTCCCTCTTCCTTTTGTCCCCATTCCCTTTCCTTCAGAGTAAACCCTACAACACCACTGTGACTCCAAATCACTGTAGTGAAACACAAGTAACCCCATCCCTATCTTCCACCACATTATGAAAGGAGAAAAGAATTGAGACTGCAATTATTTTTTATTTTTCCTTTATGCTTTTACCCATTATTTGAGAACAGAAGATTTAGCTAACTTGTCTTTAAGGTTACCAGGACAGTTTATGACCTTTGGAAGAAAGGGCAGACAACTCAGGAGGACTACAAGGATGTTGTAAGGTTATGCAGGGAGAAAATTAGAAGGGCCAAAGCCCAACTAGAAGTTAATCTGGCTACTTCTGTGAAAGGCAATAAAAAATGTTTCTACAAATACATGAGCAACAAAAGGAGGGCTAAGGAGAATCTCCATCCCTTATTGGATGTGGGAGGAAACATAGTGACAAAGGGTGAGGAAAAGGCTGAGGTACTTAATGCCTTCTTTGCCTCAGCCTTTAATATTAAGAGCAGTGGTTCTCCAGGTACCCAGCCCCTTGAGCTGGAAGACATGGACAGGGAGCAGAATGAAGCCCCCATAATCCAAGGGGGAAAGGTTAGAGACCTCTTACACCACTTAGACACACACAAGTCTAGGGGCTAGATGGGATCCAGCCAAAGGTACTGAGGGAGCTGACGGAAGTGCTCACCAAGCCACTTTCCATCATTTATCAGCAGTCCTGGCTAACCAGGGAGGTCCCAGTTGACTGGAGGTTAGCAAATGTGACGCCCATCTACAAGGGCTGGAAGGAGGATCCAGGGAACTACAGGCCTGTCAGTCTGACCTCGGTGCTGGGGAATGTTATGGAGCAGATCATCTTGAGTGCCATCACATGGCACATACAGGACAACCAGGTGATCACGCCCAGTCAGCATGGGTCCTGCTTGACTAACCTGGTCTCCTATGACAAGGTGACTCACTTAGTGGAAGAGGGAAAGGCTGTGGATGTCATCTAGCCAGACTTCAGTAAAGCCTTTGACACTGTTTCCCACAGCATTCTCCTGGAGGAACGGGCTGCTTATGGTTTGGATGGGCACATTCTTTGCTGGGTAAAACACTGTCTGGATGGGCAGGTCCAAAGAGTTGTGGTGAATAGAGTTAAATCCAGTTAGTGGTGAATGGAGTTAAAGCCAGTTGGTGGCTGGCCGCAAGTGGTGTTCCCCAGGGCTCAGTACTGGGGCCAGTTATCTTTAATATCTTTATCACTGATCTGGACAAGGGGATCAAGTGCACCCTCAGTAAGTTTGCAAATGACACCAGGCTGGGTGGGAGTGTTGATCTGCTTCAGGGTAGGAAGGCTCTATGGAGGGATCTACACAGGCTGGATCAATGGGCTGAGGCCAACTGAATGAGGTTCAACAAGGCTCAGTGCTGGGTCCTGCACTTGGGTCACAACAACCCCATGCAGCGCTACAGGCTTGGGGAAGAGTGGCTGGAAAGCTGCCCGGCAGAAAAGGACCTGCAGGTGTTGTTCAACACTTGGCAGAATACGAGCCAGCAACAACATGAAGGCCAACAACATCCTGTACTCTGCACTGCTGAGGCTGCACCTTGAGTCCTGTGTTCTGTTTTGGGCCCCTCAGTACAAGAAGGACATTGAGGTGCTGCAGCGTGTCCAGAGAAGGGCAATGAAGCTGTTGAAGGGTCTAGAGCACAAGCCTCATGAGGAGCGGCTGAGGGACTTGGGGTTGTGCAGTCTGGAGAAAATGAGGTTGAGGGGAGAGCTCCTCACTCTACAACTACCTGAAAGGAGGTTGTAGACAGGTGGGTGTTAGTCTCTTCTCCCAAGTAACAAGCAATAGGACAAGAGGAAATGGCCTCAAGTTGCACCAGGGGAGATTTAGATTGGGTATTAGGCAAAAATTCTTCACTAAAGGGGTTGTCAAGCATTGGAACAGGCTGCCCAAAGAAGTGGTTGAGTCACCACCCCTGGAAGTATCTAAAATATATGTAGATATGCTGCTTAGGGACAAAGTTTAGTGGTGGACTTGGCAGTGCTAGGTTAACAGTTGGACTTGAGGATCTTAAAGGCCTTTTCCAACCTAAATGATTCTATAAATGAGCACAGAAATGTCATCTTCTCTTTTTTCCTCCTTCCCAAACCCGTATCTCTTAATTTTTCAAAACAATGATGGAAAACAACAAAAGCATTTGGTGATTTGAAAATGTTTCAATAACAGTTTCATGTAATTCACTCTTGTGCTTGATATGTTTATGTCTGGAAAAAACATTAATAGCCAGATGTACTTTACTAGAGAACAATTACAAACCATAGACTGCACCTAACAGCAAAGTCTCCATACCTAAGTAAAGCTAAAATTGAAAACCCTTTCTGTACTTTGTAAATTATAAATACAAAACAGATCTGTCACTTAAACTCACTTTTATGAAACGTATATTTTCTGTAATCTGCAAAATTCCACTTTAACCATAATTATGAATTCCAAGTTTTAACCCTAAAGTTTCTGTACCACAACTTAAAACACAAAAAAGTTGCTATCAATAAGAAATATTAGATTTTTTTACACCATAAATGCTTCTGGGTCACTACAACCAAATAAAACCTTTTCCTCTTGAGTTAAACAGAATTTAAAAATCCTTCAGTGAAAAATTTCAAGAAAAAAGCTGTATATTCCTGTTGAATATTATTCTCAGTGCTTTCTGATTTTGCATTAATAACTTAATACATATGTCCGGCTCAAAGTAAATCCATAGTGTTTTCCTCAACAGATAATAATTATTGTGGTCATTTTTTCTTCACTTCCCCTCACTGTACTGCAGATGCACCCCTGATCAGGTGCCATCACCAATTCTCTGAAGTCTTAATCTTGTTTGAAGACGCCTACAAAACTGTGCTCCTGTTCACATCTTATTTTTATCTTATGTTCCTTTTCCCATTTTGTTTATTCAATATTTCAGTAAAGGTATCCCAATTTGCTTTTCTTCTTCCTACTTTCTATATCTTTTCCTGGCAGCATTTTTATGTGTTATTCCACTGTCTGGAGGGGAGAAAAATCCACAAAGTAAATTTAGGTGTCCAACTTTCATTGTCAGTCTTGACCAGTAAGCAGCTACTGCTAGAAAAGATATAACTGTTCATTAAACTGATTTTAGATGTAACTAATATATTAGAGAGTCACATCTTTTTTCACATCTATTACAAATAAAGCATTGCCATACAATGCTAAGAAAAAAGGTAGACTAGCAAAACACAAAACTGGCAGAGCAGCAGCAACCCACAAAACAATCATTATTAAAAACTGGTAAAAAGAAAAATGCTCAATATTTGAACCTTACATGTGATACTATCAACTCACACTGGCCAAGAAGTATGCTAACTAGCATGCTTCTACATAAATATGTAGCTAACTGAAAACATATCAATCATCATGGTGTCTGGAAAGTGTCTCAATGAACATAGCCACATTGGAGTATGAGGAACCCCCACAGTGGGCTGGACAACTATGCAGGTATGTACAGAAAACTGCTGCACAGGCTTGTACAGTCCAAGCCTGAAAGAGTTCCTGGCAGAGGGCTTTGGGTGGCCCAGGTGTTCCTGGAACGGAGAAGACAAAAAAGAAATGGCTAAAGGGTAAACAGGCTATCAAACTCTCTTACTCAAGCCTACTAAAGAAAGCGAAGCAGACAGGGAATGGGAGTAAAGACACCTGACTGAGAATAATGAAGACAAATAGAAAGAGGTGCACATGGGGAAAGCTTATTCTTAATATAAGATTTGTTCAGAACTGTCTGTGACTACTGGGGACTGAGATCTTGGGCTCAGACCAGTTAGTTCCATCAAAATTTAGCTCAGTTCTCAGAAGCAGTAAGAAAAGCAAATCCATCAGTATTGGGTATTTCTAGGAAAGGAATAAAGAGTAAAACTGAAAGCATCATTATGCTGCTGTGTAAATCTATGGCTTACTCTCACACATTGAAAATGGCATGCTGTTGAGGTCCTCTCATCTC